CTTTCTGTTATTGCCACAATGTTGCCTGTTGGTGTAATGTAAAGCAGAACGGTGCTAGCTTCGTTTTGCCCGTTCTCATCCAGGCGTTTATGTCATTGCTGAGCTCTTTAGCCTTATTAGTGCGTTGCTCTGAGCTCTGGAGCTACTGAGACCCACTGTGTTAAATCAGCAAGATTAGTGGCATAGGTCAGTGGACATGACATATATTAATATCTAATTAGTCCACTAAAATTCTTACCCTGTACAGAATAGCGTATTCCCCACAGACACTAATGGATTTCATGCCATTTTACTCTTGTTTTTTTTTTTCCTTGTTCTTTCACAGTGATTCTTTTTTTTTCTTGTAGTATAAATCTACCAATTTACGTTTTAAGGTCAGTATGTTCTGTTCCAGATCTATCAGTGATTTTTAATGTTTATTTATTTGAAGTATCTGCAATTCAAACAGCAACACTCCAGTTTGAATGAGAAATCTTCAGCGATAATTGTTTGTTAGGATTGGTTGATCGCCATTTCTCTGGAGTGGACATTGAGTGGACTAGCCAGTGGTGTGATTTGGCTGGAGAGAAACTGTGCATCACCACAAAGCATAAAACAGCAGATCAAATGTGCCTTAAAGATGATTGCGCAATCCCTCTGCTTTGGCAGTTTGTCAACACACACTAATTATTCATCATCCTTCCTAATGTGTTTCTATATCCCACCCCAGTTTAATTTTTTTTAAACTGATTGTTTTGTCATTCTGCAAATGACCACAGTTGTATATTTTAAGGACATTTTGAGAAGATGCCATCTCATCCAGTTATTTGATACAGTATATGTGTCATATGAAACTGAATTAACGACCTTCAAAGGCTGCAAGAATGTGATGGAGCAGTTCCGTCCCTCAGGCTGAACGCACACACATACACACCCCGATGGACGTGCGCGCACACCAATCTTACTACGTGCCCCCCTCTGTATGACAGTTGCAGCCGAATCGCCCTACACATTCACCTCTCCCTCTTTGTAGTTTGTGGCGTGACCAAGGGGCGACCAAGAGTTCACACTTGGAGACGCATGTAAGCATTGGAATTCATACATTCACATTAAACATACATACTTAAGGTTGTACTCGCCTGTGAAGCGTTGTCCGTCGTTGGCGTGTGGAGTAAAAGTGGGCGTAATGCTTCTGCATTACTTATAAAGGAAGTGAGCATTCTTCCGCCAGCAAGTTTATTTACAAATAATTTTAACTAAACAAAATAAGGGCTTTAAAATAAAGCAGGAAATGAATGATGGTTGATTTGTTATTTTATTTGGTAAAAAAAGTGATTACTTGTTTGTTGATCTGATTGTGGGTGGGGTTAAGGGTTTATAAGAAGAGCCTCTGACCCTGCTGGGGTCAGTCTGGTCTGGTTACAGAGGAGGTAACACTGTTGTGCAACACTAGGAAAATACTCTGAAGAAAGACAGAGAGTGGTACATATTGAAAGCTGCTTATTGTATT